CATCTACAAGTTGGTACGTATACAAAAATGTTTTTGAGTTTGAGTTATATTGATATATCGTTTTACCAGTATCGAAAAGTGCGTCGTTGTCCTCTCCTACTTGATTCGAGGCTCGACGAGTAGCGACAATCAAACCGATTTGAGCGTGTGGACGGCCTTGACACCATTGGCCGAATGGATCAAACATCTTGGAACCTATCCGACATACTCAACAACACCCTCCATTAGTCCCAGAACTGAAAAAAGTCAATGCACAACGGTACGTACGCTCTGCATAAAGGTTTCTTCACGGGGCGGAAGACGTCCAGCTGAGCGTAGGATCATTAACCTCCATTTTTTTTTATCTCTCAAGTAGTACCGTGAATCAGAGAGAATAAGTACATTTACTTAAGGTCAGGCGTCATCTTCGCAAACGCAGACTTTCGCAGCTTCCCCGCCATCCACTCCTCCGTAAGCATAAGTTCAATGCGTAGGCGGCTGTTGGCATCAGGAGCAACAGAGCTCGACGATAGCGGGGAAGAAATTGGGGGCCTGCTGCAGGCGCTTCACAAACTCCTTGATGCGAGCCGAGTGGTCAATCTTGAGACGGAATCCGATCCAGGCACCGACGATAGCCTGAGCGATAGCGAGCCAGATCTGAGAATCGTAAATAAACACAAGAACCACTGGAGCCACATAGCGGTCAGAAAAGCAATGTTGTGCTCCGACTCGATAATGCGTTCTTCAGCTGGGCGCGGAAACATCCACGCTGTAGATCTCCACGCTGAGTCCAATGAGAAGCTTGACCATCAACTGAGTTGAACATGAACTTGCACACGAAGATGATCGTCCAGAACGCTCCGTAGCAGAAGAAATCTCCCCAGCTCTGGCCAATCGTACAGACCGTCTAGCAAGCTCAGTAAGGCCGACCTTCAAATAAGTCCATGGAACTTCTATTGGAAGAACATCTGAACGATCGATACGATGATGATCGGAGCCATCGTAAGCAAGCCGCTCGACCCCACAGACTTGCACGGCGCAGCATTGACGGCCGTTAAGAGGCTGAAGAACACTGTGTGCCACACATGACGGATGAATACCCATACGGCATATAAAGGTGGCTGAAGATGCAAGTGCCGTCAATCCACACGTCTAGCACCATCTTGAGAGCCGCTAATCGTCATGAAAATGGAGTAAAAGACGTGGTTATGGGTGTCCTTAATGTCCGACGTGAAAAGTTCGAGTAGAACTTGAACCCGTCGGTGTCGTCCAGGTTGGAGCGGTAGGCTGATGGTCATCTCTTATGTGATGACCACCCGTATGCGCAGCATGACGAAAAGGGAGAAATAGAGGCGAAAGAACGTCAGAATGCTCCTTGAACGTCTTGTAGTCCCGCGCATTGACGGCTTCTGCTACATTGAACTCGTCGAAGTGGAGGCACGAGTCTCTCCAGAAGAACTCGTTCACATCATTGTAGTTGATCACGTTCTTGTGGTCCACGCCCGCTCCGTTCTTTTGCGGACGCATCTTAGCTACAATGTTGTAAAACGGACGTACGTCTTAGAAACGTTCCTTCCGGTGTATTGAGCATTTTTTCTAAACCACTCAATCCAACTTTGCAGCCATCTTGTGACAAAGAGCGGAAGACGTCCAGCTGAGCGTAGGGTCATTAACCTCCGTTGCATACCTCGTCAACGACTCGCTTTCGCCTTCACACTTTCGAATGAGTGACCGACGGTACCGTGAATCAGGGAGAATAAGTACATGTACTTATTCTCCCTGATTCACGGTACTACTTTCATGATCGGGTTTTGCAGGTATAAGGGACTGCTTTCTTAAAATATCTATATTTGCTAGTTTACTGACGGTTGCTACCGAAGAGGATATTTATCTATGAAGGTTTTTGGCTCTACTCTGCGGGACAATATGCCGGGCTCCCCGGCCACTAGCGAGGCATAACTGTAATATTCCCATCATATTGACCTCACCACACAGACTAGGAAACATTGTCCTCACACACGATGTCACAAAATTGTTGGAGGTATCACCAACATGAGGAGGTAATGCCGAACATTTTGAATTATTTACGGGAAGGCCAACCACTACTCGCCCCAAGAGCTGATCACCAGCAGCTTTGTAATGGAAGTAGCGATCTTGAACACCACCAATACTCCAACCACAACGAAGACAAACACTTACTATAGACGGCCCACCAGTTTTTCCTCCGCACGCAAATGTTGCTACCCCTTTACGTACTGAGTGGGTGCCGTAACTTTTGGCAGAACCATCTCTTTTCAACACCCAGTTAAAATCTTGCCAAAAACGTAGTTTCTGGTCGGATCCTGGAAAATGTGCTCCAGGTTCCAGCCGAAGATGACACGCAAGATAGACTGCCAGGGTAGTTATCCAGCACACCGACGGACTTAATGGATTCGCGTACAAGTGACGCGGGTCACGTGGTCCCGAACCTTCTTGGTTCGTCTTGGTCTTGACCAATACGACACCAACGCTGTCGTCTTTTGCCAATAGATGCTGAGTCTGAAGTGTTTGTACTGACATAGACCTGCACATCAGGCTCCACTGTGAAGTTAAAAAGAGATGAGAGAACCCGCCATCATTAATGTTCAGAGTCTCCAGACACAACTCACTGTAGCGTGAGTACGTCAAAGGCCGCTTGCCCGATGACTTAGGAGTACTGGTCTGGTCATTATCCGCCTCAATTCGTTTCAACCGGAAAAAAGTTGTTTCATTCCGTCTCCATATTCAGTCGGTGACGCAAGGCGTTTTACACGATGCAGGTTCTTAATAGCACTCCAGTATCCACTTAAAGTGGCAGTTTTGACAGAACTGCGTTTGTATACCAGGAAACGCTAAAAAAAAGCAGGAGTAAACTCCGTTAGAACAAGTTCGTCGTGCTCCTCAAAGAACCTGCCGGTGTTAGCATCTTCCTTGGAGAGCTCCTTCACAATCCATCTCTTGATACCGTTCAGACTGCTCTTATACTTCACTCTGGTGCGTTTGGACACGCCGGCATCGTGTATTGCTTCTACATCGCTTGCTGCACCACCCGTGGGTTGCGAACTCCCATCACTCATTTTGCCTACGTTCGATGCGTTTTTCTGAATTGATCCAGCCAATGGGAGGCTGTGGATATCGTAGGCGGTAACGCCTTACGATTTCTTAATAGAAGTTGATGGAAAGGCTTAGTATAGTGAAGTTCAGTCAAATGAGGATGCGGAATAAACCATTTCCGATAAAAGATAAGGGTCGGACGCCAACGATTTGACGTAAACTACCGGATTCGACGAATAAAACGCAACTTTGTAAAATGTTACCTCCAAGTAAATTTGTAAAAAGGTAAAAAGTCGTAAATATTTTAACGTAGATCGGATGCCACAAAACCAACCAGCGCCATCCATCTTAATTTCCCGCGCATTTTGGATTTGAGCGTCTTAATGCGAACCAAAGCCCAGTGCACCAACCAAGAACGGCGAGAGGTAAGCAAGTGTCATTCCGCAGTAGATGAAAATGTATTTTTAGTTTCCAATATGTGCATTTATAGGCTGTGCTGGAAGTCCGAGCTGCGGGTGAAGCCACAGAGGCGCTGGCTGCCAAGTACGGTGTTCACCGTGTGACATTGTGGCGCTGGGCCAAGGAGGAGGGTCGAATTAAAGACGCTCAAGGCGTAAACAGAAAGAAAAAAAAGATAAGCAAGGTCAAGAGGGGTGTGAAATTACGATTTCCCGGACTAGAATCTCGGTATGTGTTTTATTTTAACAATTTATAATTGTTAATTAAAACTAACAAATTTGTAGTCTTCTTGAGTGGTTTACCGATATGCGGAAGAACAAGTCAATGTGTAAGTGGCATAAATAATTACTGGCATGCAATATTGTTAATTTTAAAAATTAAACTGAATAGGTGTAACAAGCCAGTGTCTACTGCTCATGGCTGTCCGCTTTGAGCCCCGGTATCTTACTGGAAGATCGTTAGATGCTGCTGTGGCTGCTATAAGACGGTTTCGCCTTCGCAATCGTCTCTCAGTACGAGTTATTACCCACAGAGGCACCAAAAAGCGCTCGGAATTGCAGGTACATTGTTGTGAGATCATCAAAATATTTTTTAATAACGTTGTTATTTAAATTATTAGGGTGTGGCGGATCATTTTTCAAGAACCATTCAGTACAATCTGGAGATGGCCGGCCTACTTTCAGGCATCAAGGGGCCAAACAAGTACGAGTCGGTGTTTAACATGGACCAGACGTCAATATACATTGATATGGGGCCGAAGCGGACGATTGAGTTCGTTGGAGCTAAAAATGTCGACGCCACCCAAGGTAACTTTATTGAATTAGATACTTTTTAACCTTTTTGTTTTACTATTTCATTAATTTATTTACTCTTTTTAACTATAGGAATGTCGGAAAACTCGTTTCGTGCTTCGGTCTTCCTTTGTGCCTCGGCAACGGAAAAAAAACTCCTTCCGTTTGTCGTCTTTGGAGGGGCACGGAATGGACCAGTGCACCAAGAGCTAATGGCCAACAGAAACTACCGCACGCAAGCTATACTCATCGTCCAAAAAAAGCGTATTGCGACGAAGATCGAATGCTTGAGTGGATAAATGAGGTTTGAATTTTGCAATTTTTATTTCTT